TGAGTTCGCAGAATGGTGTCTTCGTTTCATCTTCCGGTTCTTGCTTCATTTCGGAAATGTATTTTTGCGTTAATATTTGAGCATTCGCGATCCAATAATATCCAAAATAAATAATTTTTATTCCTTTTAACCGTATTTAATCTTTATTGAGTTATTCCCCTTTGGTGGACAATTTTGTCGTCTGTCTGGAAACGTGCCTTCCCATGGAAGAGAAATGACAATTGAAAACAATCATAATTTATTTATCTTCTGCGGATAATTCAAGTTAAAAAAATTTCTTTTTTGACTGGAATGAACTGCCGAACAATTCAGAAATTTTTGAAGGGGGTACGAGACTGAGGGAATACAGAAATCATGCCGAGAAGTGGAGGTGCTAGGAAGACAACAGCGCGGGTTGCTTCTACGAAGTTTGAAAGGGAATAACAGACAGACTTTAAAATACCTCACGAGTAGATTTAAGGAAAGAACACAATACCAAGTATCCTCATGAACAGTAAGTCAAAGGTTGTTTGAGCATGGTTACAAACGTCATCCCATTTCTAAGAACATTATGATTTCTCGAGTTAACCGTGCTAGAAGAATTACATTTTGTTTGCGGAAATTAAAATTGGCTGTTGAGAACCAATTGTCATCAGTCATTTTTAGTGATGAGACAAAAATAATTCTCGGAAACAACAAGTAAATTTATGTTTGGAGACGATCCGGCGAGAGAATGCGTCCCAATTGCTTGGGTATTGTGGGTTATATTGCAAGACATTTTGCTCACCGGCAGTGGATATTTCAAGATGATAATGCACCTTGTCATGTTTCGGCACGAGCTCTTCAGTGGAAAGCAGAGAATGATATTAACATCCTTCAGGCCTGATATAAATATAATAGAAATGTGTGGAAAGTTCTAAAATGCAAGATTAATCAACGCTTAAACGAAATCAAAAACAGTGATGAAATGAAACGCATCGTGTCTGACATTTGGAGTATTCTCCCTTTACATTACATTCGAAGTCTATACAACATTTTTCCGAGGAAGAATACTCACTGTGCTGCGATCTCGAGGGCAGATTACCAAATACTGAGCCTTACAAGTAAGAAATTTTACTTCCTTTGATTTACAAACTCACACATTTTTAATTTCAGCGATTTTTTTTTAATTTACGTTTATAATAGCGGCAATTTTGCGAACTCATTCATGTCACACTACTGTATGATCTGACTTGACAAAATTTGCCATCCCTCTTGGTCGTCCTTTTTGAACCAGACGACACTTTTTCCTAAGAAATGAGTGTGCATGCTTTTATACAATCCATATGACAGCCTACGCGTATTTAAACTTCTAAAATAAAATATTGGCAAATTAAGAGAACATTTTCAAATATAACATTAAAAATTGAACAAAAGAAAATATTTGCAAATGCCAATACATGTTGTACAGTGTATATACGAGGGGTGATCAAAAAGTTCGCGAACTATCTCTGTATTTACAAAACCACAATTTAGATCAGAATGAAATTTGGCACACATATAGTCATGTACATGTTCTATAAATAACAAATGTTAAATAATGTTTTGCTCCGTGTTTGTGACGTCACAATGTGAAAATGACGTCAATATGTAGGTCACTTGTGACAAAAAGTGGTTGACTCAGTCGTACTCAAGCAACGAACCGCTGTACCTTGGAAATTCTTTTGCAGTAGAAGATGATAATTTGTACAAGGTTTATGATGACAAAAGACTTACCAGACGTTCAATCATTAATTGGATGGATTGTTTTAGTGAAGGCAGGGAGATGGTTAAATATGATGTTTGTTCTGTTGCCCAGCGAAAGCAAGCCGGGGAAAAGATGTGTCCTTAGCTGAGCAATTTGCTATGAAACATCGTCAAGTTACAATTAGAAAAAAGGTTGAATATCTTAACAATACTATAATCATTAAATCACAGGTACTTGTGGACAGGACCCCCCCCCCCCCCTCCCGATATATGACCCCGGGCTTGTTGGAATTTTTTTTTTTTTTTACAATTTATACTTATTACACTTCCTTATCACGTATACCATACAAAAAATTGGGTTAAAACTCAAAATAACAGTTCCATACAAAAAATACCTCACTTTACATAATAAGAGAGAAAGGTATGCCACTCCGGTTTGTTGACATTCTACCCCCCTGGTCTTTTTGGGTTAAAAAAATACTTTTATTTCAATTCAACTGGAAATGCCGGCTCACACGGTCTCTACATACATATTAGTCTTCGATTATGCTATTACATTGGCTTTGCATCTCGTAAGAATCCCACAATTTATCCTCAAACACGATTTTAGCTGGTGTTCTGAAATTTCCTTAGGTAAACGCAACGGAAGTAATGAAATCGCGACACCTATAAAAAGGTAGATCACTCGCGCGGAGAACGTCTCATGTTCCGAATGTTCACAGCATTACGATAACACCCGAAGACGGGCAATTTGTATTACGCGCGTAATTCAAAAATTAAAAAAAAGAGTGAAAAAATCAGAATGACCGATTTCATAACTTGGATGCATGAAAATATTGAGGAAGGTGACGCAAATGAATATATTGAACTGGCAGATATAAAAAATAAGTGTGTCAATTGTACAATAACAAGTACAGCAATTGCCAAAATTATTACCCAATTTTTTAGAAATGTAAATATAAAAACTGGACGCTCTAAAACTGACTGGTGTAAATTGACCAAAAAATACTATGGAATTCACTGGAAAAATACAGATTTAAATATATCATTCAATGATGTAAAAGTCCCTGATGATTTCTTTATCATGGCAAAACAACAATGCAACTTAAAAGATGGTCACTTGACAAGCACTGTTATTTATGGAAGCCAGGTCCTCATTGAAATAACACTAAATTCTGATTCTACATGGAATCTTTTCATTATGGGATCAGTTGTGAGTCCAGTTGACCTTGGACTTGACAATACATATAACTCTATGACAATTTTTGAAATTGTAAGAAAGTTGCAGTACTGTGATGGTGTAAAAAGTGTTGTATCATCCAAAAACAAGCCTTCAAAAATTTATGTAGAGCATGTATCAAAGCTAGGTGATGAAAACAGCCCCATCTCTGTGCGGTACAGATCAAAATCCTGTACAAAAGTGATGCCCTTTAAATCATCAGCACTGGCATCCACCTCCTGCCCTCCATGTAAATATCTAAACCAACTCCCAAAAATTAAACCAGTTGATATCCCTAATCCTTCTAATTCATCTCTTAATGAAAAATCCTTTAATGCAAATAGAGTTGATATTAAGCAAAGACAATCAGATGTAGAACTCAATGAAGAAGATCACACAGATATGCAAACAATCTTTAATACGCTGTTCCCACAAAGTACAGAAAAAATTAAATCATTTTTGATGTCCCAAAAAGTTGCTATGGAGAGACATCCACAGGGACGTAGGTGGAACAAGGATATTGTCCGTATGTGCCTAACTTTGTGGTGTAGGGGCCCGAGAGGATACGCAGAACTGAGAAATAGCAATTTTCTTGTTCTTCCTTCACAAAGGATGTTGCAGAGGTACAAGAATATTATTCACCAAGAAGCTGGCATCCACTCTAGTATGTTGCACTGGATGGCCAGCGATGCAAAGATGAAGAACCTGCCTCCAGAAGGTTTTGAAGGGGGCTTGATTTTTGATGAGATGGCTGTTCAACCCGACCTGAAGTTTAAAAAAAAAGATGGTGATATACAATTGTAAGGGTTTACAGAATGCACACCTGAATCAGTAATATTTGACCAAATGAAAACAAATAAGAAAGAAAGGACACTTGCCACTTATGTCTTGCAGTTTATGTTTTTGGGCTTTACTGGTTTCAGGTTTCCTTTTGCACATTTTCCCTCTGCCACAGCCTCTGGCCATGAATTGTACCTGCTCTTGTGGAAGGCTGTAAATATGTTGTTAAATTTTGATTTTAAGGTTCAATATATAAGTACTGACGGCGCCCAAACAAACCGAGACCTCTTCAAACTCTTACTGCCTGATTTTAAAACAGTAGACCCTGTTACTTGCTCTTTCAAGAACATTTACTCCTGTGATAATTCAAAGATGTTTTTTATCATGGATATTTCACATGTTATAAAAAAGATTAGAAATAACATCCTGAAAAGTGGGTCAGAAAAACACTGCACAAGACATCTGAAGGTTGGGGATAAATTCATTGAATGGAGCCATTTTCAAACAAGCTTATTTGTGGGATATTTCACCTCATCCCTTCCCTGTTCATAATTGCCTTACCCAAGAACATTTGTTTCTGAATTCAGAAGCAAAAATGCGCAATCACCTTGCAGAACAAGTGCTTAACATTGATATGCTGCATTTGATGGAATTGTACAAGAATTTTCTTGGAAGTGAAGGAGCTAAGTTGGATGCTACTATTGACCTTTTGAGATCCACAAGTGTATTGATTAAAAATTTTAGAGACCATAGGCCAATTACTGAATGCACAGATGAAAGACTTTCAGAAAATCATGATGCAATGGACTGGTTTGTCAACTGGGAAAAAGGCATTCAAAAAGATGAATCTGTGAAGAACAAAGAAAAATGTTTAATATCATACCAAACACGACAGGACATCGTCTCGGCTATTTGGGGTTTGAGGAACTTTGTGTATACAGATTAAAAACATCTCATGCATCCATCATTCCTAGCAGATTAAACAGTGATATAGTTAGAAAATACATTCTGTCAACAAAGAACTCTCCACAATGGAGCAAATACACATCCTACGTACCTTGGATACTGTCACTCTTTAAACTCTGTGGTTTTAGGACAAACCTCGATTTCCAGAAAGTCCAACACAGGTGGAAAATGCGCTAATTTGCCAGAGACTCGTCCACTGTCAAAAAGAGTAAAATCATCATCATATATAAATACATTAAAGTATATTTACAGTGGATACATAACATTCAAGTCTTTGCCACATTTCAGTAAATATCTAGAAATTGATGAAATATTTTGTTTTTACCTCTTTGTTTATCTCTCCCTTTTCCTCGCCTTCTAGAGGTCCTATTCATTTTTGCTTGACTTGTTTCAGGTTCTGAAAGAACAGGTGCTGAATCAGGAGGGTCAACAGTAACTGAAGACTGGTTAACTCCACTGGGCCCTGGGACTTCAGGTTCAACAGGAATTGTCAATTCTTCAGAATGTCCCAATTTCATTATTTTTTCTTTAATCACTTCAATTATTTCTATCTTTTTCTTACGTTCAGATACTGTGATTTTGAGATTTTTACAAATCTGAATCAAAATTTGCTTGGTAAATTGATTTTCTTCCAAACATTTGTCATTCTGTATAAGCTCAGATTTCAGTCTCAGAAAAGAAGCTTGTTTATTTTCAGACTGATCTTCAATGTAAAACTTCATGTTAAATGTCTTAGGAGCTTTTTTTTTGTCTTCTTGATAACTTTTTTGCGAAGAGCTTCCCCCTTTTCCTTTTTTAAATGTGCCGAATAATCTTTCCTGAACTGACTAAGGTTAACTTTCAGAAAAAGTGTAATTACACTTTGAAACGTTTGAATGTACAGTTCACATGAGCTTACCATTCCATACAGAAGCTTGGAAATATCTGAGTCCATTTCTTCTGTAGTGCATTTTCTGGAATCTATAACACACTGAACCCATAGCTGAAACAACTCCAAATTGTTTAATAGGTCTGTTTTTGCTTTGTCAAATAAAAATTTCCCAACATGCATTACTTTTTGTGTGTGAGTGTTTGGCGACAAAGTAACTCTAACTTTTGAAAAAACTTGAATGTCAAATCAGAAATGTTAGACTTCCACCTGCATTTTGTTTACGTTTTGTTTCACATAAACTTTCTGGATCACATGACGACATCTGTAATTCCTCATAAGAACAGCATAATGAGTTGTAAATTGTCATTTCATTTTGATATGTTTTCAAATTCATCTCCTTTCCTTTAGCAAAAATTGAATTTTGTATTTTCTTTGATGTGTTGTGTTTTAATTTTGCCAGCACATATCCACTAACATAACGCAGCTTGCCCCTTCCACTGGTATCCAGTTCACATTCTGCTGATGGTTTTTTCAATGGTATGGGATCTGACAACTGGAGATGAGGAGACAGATTGAGAAAGAAGTTTTCTTCCAAGTAAAATAGAACGGATGTCAGAAGTCTACAATGAGGTCCATTCAAGTTCTGGCAATAAAACTGCAAAAGATTCATAACACTTTGTTCAAACTCATCTGAATTTAAGTACTTATTAAATGTTGTAAAGAAAGTATTTCTGTTTGCTTGGGTGAATTTGATTTTACCCTCAGGAAATGAATGCAGTCCAATGTTTTCAATTTCAGACCACTGATTTTCAAACCATTGGTCAAACTTGTAAAAGTTTTTGAAAATAACATCTTTGAATTTCATCATGTCATTTTCTACAGGGGTGTCTACAAACTGCTGTAATACACTTTCCAGTGCAATTCTAGAATTTGAGTGTGACTGTTCATGAGAAGAAAATCTGGCATAACAGGTCCCTTGTCATCGTCAGGGTCAAGCATGTTTAAAATTTCTAAATTTCCTATTTCTGATTCTGAGAAATCTGAGTCACATTCAGAATTTTTTAAGTTGCAAAGGGCAGGGGAATTATTGCCATCACTATTGTCATCACTTTTAGAGTCTTCTTGATTTTCTTGTCTAGAGTGTATGCAACAACTCAGATCATTTTTTACATCTCCAATTGATAGACTTTCATAAAATTTGTAGACATGATTAGGGTGTTTCCTGCATAATTGTTTTTTAAAGTTTAAAACTTTTAATCCACTGACTGACACTGCTCTCCCTATGGCAACGCCAAGTTGACCAGGTTGAATACAATGCTGGCAATTTACAATTACATTTTCAAGTGTCATACCTTGTGATTTATGTATGGTTATGGCATAAGCCAATTTCAAAGGTAACTGAACACGTTTTGCCAATACTCTTTTGTCTACAGGGTCAAATGTGGTAAAGAAATGAGGAGTAATGTTCACACAGACTGGTTTGTTATTAATTTCAAACAAAACATCAACTGACTTTTCATGAAGGTGTAATACATGTCCTCTTAGTCCATTAACCAATGTGGAACAGATATTTTTTAACAATATAATTGGGCATCCTATCTTCAGGCCTAAGTTCTTTGGAGCAAGAAATTTGTTCAAATAATGTTGTGAGCCTTCATCAATACTAGTATATACTTTGAGGTCACCAGGCACTGTAAGTAATTTATTGTAATTAAACATATCAGTGTCCAAGTTGCGTGCAAACAATTGAATACACTGTTCTTCATTCTCAATAGGGCGATTTAAGGAATTAAGGAATTAAGGATTGCTACACTGTGGTCAAACAGTTCACCTCTCTCAAGTTCATTAATGCAGGTAATGAGTTCAGGATAGTCCTGTCTATGTACCACATTCAAATTTATTTTGTGTGTAAAAAAAATCAGAAAACCATGATGCTTTGAAACAGTGGTTGCCTGGGTCACCATGAAGCTCACTTGATACTGGTGGCATTGAAAAAAATCGCCAACCAATATAACCTGAATTTTTCCAAATGTAAAATTATTGTTTCTGATGTTTCTACATATGAATTCTACCTGAGATAGTATTTTGGAACTTACCATCGAAACTTCGTCAATAATTAAAGTTTCAACTTGCTGAATATTGGTTTTGGCACTTAAAAATCGTTCATCGGTATTTAAAAGATGAACAATTTCTTCGTTAAGATCGCAGTACAGTTAAGGCTACACATGAAGATAATATGGTAATGAGGTCATAATGAGGTTGACGTCATGACAGTTGCTCCGCCTTGATAGATCCATATAAGGAAATAGAGCTCAAAAAAGCCATTTAATGATGATTGCGAGAATTTGTAATGAATGTCTGTATTTTCAGGTTTAAATAAATAAACGTTAGTGATTTTCTCTTATATAGTAGCAACACGTCTTCGAAATAATTCTCTTTTTATTGTGTCGTTTGGCTGCATTCGGCTTCAGCCAAGCGCTTACACTCGGTGACACGGAATGTTGTTTACATCTAAAAACGTGGCGAACAGCAGCTGAGATATGCAGTGGATAAATGCAACAATCAGGCAATCTTTAAAGAGAATAGGGATAAAATAAGAGACCTGGGGCTTCTTTATCTTTTTGATGAGAAGATGATGACGTTATTTCGGGAAATCATGGAAAACTGAGACGATCCGCACTACCTCCCTAGGTCCCTTTCTGTTCATTAAGGTGTGTATGTGCATAGGTATTAACATGCAGACATACTATTCTTTACATCGATGTCAAATAACCATGAACATGTATAATACGATGTATTATTACAGTCCGTCACAAACTGCAATGCAGTGCCTTGTGTGTATGCCCCCCTCCCTCCCCACATACACAAAAACACACACATTATGAAAGTTGCACACTTTTAAACATGCAATGATGTTGTCCTTTGGCATACATGTACAAACATGTAACATAATATAAGCACAGCATGTCATGATATCAAATAGTATATTAATTTAGATGCAGTCACACTTACAATGTATTAGTGAAGTCAAACTGCACAGTGTACACAATGTATGTGCACTATACATACAAGAGTATAAGACCCTATAAATTTTAATTTATACCTCTGGCAATCAAAAATATGTGAATTTTAAGATTTCAGGATTTACCAGTGCTTCATATTTAAATTCAACTTTTACTATCTGTATCACTAGGTTGTAAATTTGTAGAATTTCTACATTAATGAAGATAGAATGTTTGAATTTTCATTTGTCTGACTACATGTACATTAAGTCAGTCTTATATGTATTTATGTACTATTTATATGTATAATTCTTTTGTCATTGTAGCTGTCACAGAACTGGTTAAAACTGGCATTTACATCAGCTAGAACTATCAAAATAGATGCATCAATTTCTCCACTGGGTATGATCACACCAAAGCATTTCACATTAATTTTATAGTATGCCAGTGTTAATTTTTTTTAAATGTTGTATAGGTGAAAGAATTAAATGTTATCTCTTGTATATTGATTTTTTTTTTACTTAAATTAAGTATAGCTACCAATTCTACTTTTGCAAATGTCATAGGTTTCAATTTCCCAGAAAAGTTTTGTATCAAAAGTTTATTTCTATTTATTTTATGAATTTCAGAAAATATAGTATAGCATGGTTTGTTTTGTACAATGCAATGTCATTTCATTCTACAATAGTAATCATTATGTTATTCACTCATTACATGTATATTGTGTTGTAGCTACTCCCAAACAATTTGAACAATTCATTCAGGCAGCAAGTGTTTCCACCAATAAAATAAATGTTTTGAGTATCACTTCTTTAAAACACCAATGAACTTTCCATAATGGTATTTCATTTTATTTTCAGAATTGATTTCATCCAGAAGAACTGTTTGAACTGTGGACTATTTTTTGCACCTGCTCAGAAATCCCTTCACAGCCTGCCTTTGAATTTGAAAAGCTGTTTTTAATTAAATAAATTTTCTAGATAAATAATACTTTGAATTTTTAACAGTACAATGGTGTGAAAGTTTGAAGGCTGTTAAGATTTGAATATCTTTACTTGAATATATTCTGACAGGCGCGTAGCTGCCTATACGCAGATGTGTACAAATCGTTTTAAAATTTAAAAAATGGGAAAGGGGGGGGGGGGGAGGGAAGGGAGAGATTTGTGAGAAGAGAAAAAATATCAATACCATCCAGCAAATATTTGTGTTTTAAATTATTTTATCTCATATACTGTTTCGATTCAAATTCAAATTTTATATTACCATGTCTTTACAAAAAAAAATTGTAATGTTTTATTATTTAAATCATTGCCACAACCAAATAAAACATTTATTAATTTGTAATTCTTCAACAACACATTGATAATTTTTTTAAAGATCTTAGAGAAAATATCAACCGTTGAATGCTGTGATCCACTAGAATATGATTTGAAATATAACATTATTTTTGTTAATAATTGAAGTTAATTATATTTGTTGCTGAAAGTTAAAAAAGAGTAGATGATCCCAATATATCATTTTAAAAAATATTCAGCCTCTACATGTACAATAAATTTGCACGGAAGTATTTAACTGTGTTAAAAGCAATATTAAGTACTATGTCTTGTATTTTCTAAAGAAAATCGAAATGGCATGATTTTGAATGAAATATTTGGTAAAACCCATGAGCTTCCAGGGACTTCGCCCATGGGTCCTCATCAGGGCTTCGCCCTGGACCAACTGGGGGTCTCAAAGCGGATCCCAGCCGTTCTCTGCGTACATTTCACTTCCATTCTGGCTACGCGCCTATCTGTGTTTTGGGGTACCAACAAGATCTAAATTTCAGCATGTATATTGTGTTCACCTGTTCTTTAACAGAGTATATGTTTCTTGATTACAAAGTTTTACTTTATCTTGTTTGCGCATGGATTGATAATAACTAAAAAAAATGAGACTAAAGCTCCCCCCCCCCCCCAATTTGTGCTACAATACCCAAATAAGTAAAACCTGATGTAAACACTGTTTAATAATTTGTTTTTTACGTGCAAGTAAGGTATATGGTATCAAAGGAGCCAGAGGCAAACTGGTGATGGGGAGGGGGGGTGGGGGTAGATCTGTACTGAGAAAGGAAAACAGGTAATTAAATACAGGAATAAGCTCCCCAATCCCTTCCTCCTGTTCTTAAAACTTTTAACGTAGTCTAGAATCCCTAAACAGTTGAAGGTTTGATAACTAAAATAATCACATATGTATTTAAAAAAAAAACAACTAAGTTTTGTCGGAGATATTTTTTCTATACGTGTCTGCTTGGGGAGAATAAATATATTATCATTGATAGCGGCTGTCTATTCTTTATTACAAATGATTGAATCTTTCAATATTTTTTAACCATGGGTATTTTCCAATTGATTTACATTATAGATGTTGCGGCAAATTTTAGGCCTATTGTTGACAAACAAAGGAAATGCGATAGGTGTCAAATACGTCTTGTGTAGAGTATAAAAGAATGAAGATATACAAAATAAAGTAAAGTCAAGGATTTTTTTATGCATACCGATTTGATTTAATGAAATAAAGCCCAGCACAGTCCGTAAGTATTATTTGTTCAAAATTTGCGAGGTACACACACACTATTAAGTACCACAGAGTTATCTCCCATGCTGGGTCAATGATGCGTTTGAAAACTATATTTAGAATGAATGTGTTAAGATTTCAATTTTTAATCAAAAAGTGCAAGGGCAAGGCGACAATCCAAGAGGTAGGTTTTTATTTTAAATTCTTTACTTTACTGTATAGTTTTTAAAAAGTGATGCTCATTTCTTTGTAATTCATTTGGCAATTTAAAATTTCCGATTAAATGATGAAAAATACCCTATTTTTGAATACTGGTGTCTGTTTTCAATGAATAACTCAAATATCTCAGAA